AATGTACGTGTTGTGTGGTCATCAGTCAGGGTGAGTGACCGATTCTGCTTAAGTTGTCTGAGAGATGATCGATGCTCAGAACGTTAGGTCAATATAAACCACGTAGCGAGACTATGAGGCGGAGCATGCTCGGGCTGCAATACTCCAAGCCCAGAATGATTACATTCACTGTGAGCTGTAGAAGAAGCTATAGGGTTTTAACAATAGCCTGTCTCCGTCATATATTTGCAACAATACAATGTTTTCGGTCAGCGCTGACCTAATCCGTGATGACCGCGAAAGCCATCTGACCTCATGACCTTCTTTCGTCTCGTTCGTAAGGTCAACGACCTCCAGAGAGGGAGGGATCGAGACGTTCTCAAACGTTTACAGGAACCAGAGCAAAAGACTAACATTAACTCCCTGCAATGAAAGTATTTTCAGATTGTCTGTTTTCAACATGCTTATAATTTACAACAGGTAGGATTCCAGAGAGGTTCTTCATGTTCAGATACTGAAGGATCTAGACTTGCCAATTAATTGTGGACTTGCTTCAGGTCGCGTTTCAAGGTCTGCATGAGGGACAAGAATAAGAGTAACTGATTTTTCAGTTGCCCGCCATTACCATGCACGTGCCCAAAAAACATGATATTTGATTGTCAACATTAATCAAACTTGTTTATGTGTGTCTTGCTGTCGTTTGATCGAAACTATCTACATATGTCATTAAATTAATATTTACTTGCCTACCCTCAAACGTTCTTATTAAAATGAACGAATGTCGTCTTTGTTACCTTTTAATGCAAATTGTTTGGGTGGCGGCTGCCGATGCGGCGGGGCATGCTTACTTTTCCAGCGAACACCTGGCGTCACCACTGATCGTAAGTGATCCATTCATTTAATTGTCACCGCTATTCTGCCTTTCAAGCTCAATGCAAACTGTTTCGGGGACAAGTTACTCTCTAGCCTTGACGTTTTATATTTAAAGTACGATATTTCCAGAACGGTTACCAAGGTTACGATATGATATATCCAGAAACTTATATCTGCTTTCAATACGACCTACTGCCAAAGATGTGCCGATATTATCCCCATTGGTAACGATAATAGTGGCGTTTTTGGTTTCAAATCAGTTGCCCTTGGATTAAAACTGGGAACAGTTTTAAGTGATTTTCCAATTCCGCACCAGTGAAAGACGGTACACACTGTGGTGTTAAACATTCATTTACGAAATATAATAGGTTCATTTTAAGTTCTGAAATCGAATTGTTCCGTGTTATTGCGAGAGCTGCTCTTTGGCAATGCATCAACATACCACGCAGAATCCGATAACATTGCTGATATACATACTGTAGGTATTCGTTGATCGATTTATAATTCACCGCCCAGTAGATGTGTGTCCGCTACTCGTGCCACCAAGGATAAGCTTTGAAGGCAGCACACAATGTTCCCCATATCTCTGTCAGTGATCCATCCATAGAATGTTCACCGCTATTTTGCCTTGTACGTCCAATGGAATGTTTCGTCAGATAATCGAGACTGGTTATTCTCTGGCCTTGACGTTTTATATTTAAATGTGTCAAAAATAATTTGTTGTGACGACGTTTCAGGACTACTGCTTGTCCCTTCGTCGGGTGAATACGGAGTAACTCACTGTATAATATATCAACTAATACGCTTGATGATTCGCCCGATGAAGGGGCAAAGGGTAGCTCTAAAGTGTCTTACAAAAAAAAGAAGTTGTTAACCATAAACAATTTATTCCCTCACATACTATGTTTGATTCAGGATAATTTTAACCTAAGTCAAACCTAATGTTCTGTTTTCATTGTTATGACACGGACGTCATGGGAATCTGCCACACGGATATAACACTAACTTTACCATGTATGCACTGTCGGGAGGCAATGGGTAGGTTTGTGTTTAAATGATGTCCCTCACACACACGCAGCAGGACTTTTCAAAACAATTAAGTAGGATAAAATTATTGTTACTGAATGAGATTACTTCAGAATAATCCTTTAGTATATGGCAGTGATTCTCACAACTATACCTCTGGAGGACAAGTAAGCACCTCTAACTATATACAATTGTATTTTGCTTAAATCGTATGCTATTTATTTTCTTACCAAACGTTTTTGACATCCTCATATTGAAATAAAGAAACCGAAATCGATTCTGTATTGATATATTTGGTAACTAGTCCATAGCAATGATCATTCAGCACCGCCCACTTTCAATCATAGTCCTGCGTCATGACTGGGGAAATAGATGTATATTATGAAAACAAAACCAATCTAGATATATATACACAAGCAAGTCTAGCCAGCTCTGTTCTAAATCAGCACCAGGAAAAGTATTTGTTTTAATTTTAGAGGAGAGAAATGTATTCTGTAGACTATATGTAAGTCTCTTTTAATCACTTCCCCTGCTTTGTCGCATCACATATGAACAAATCTTTGCGAACACCCTGAAGATCGTTCAGTGCTTTAATATTTGGTATCTTAGAATTTGATCAATTTGAGATCATGACAATTTAGATAAATCGAAAAGATACATGGACGTTTGAATACATGTATACGAACATAAAGGAGTGATGCTTGACAATTTTCAAAGCGTATATATACTGGACAAAAACATAAGGGTCATGAATATTTTTTGGATATTTTTTGTAGTGATGACAAAGCACACAGTTTCACAAATGTATCCCTAAAAATATACATGATTCCTATATTGTTTGTTCAGTATATACACGGATCTAAATGACATTTAGGTCCGTGGTATATATGTACATTGCAAATAGTCAAGCACCACCTTTTATTTCTGTATATAATGCACATACGATTACAATGACATGTCCACTTTAATATAATAGGAGGGAAAACGAAGCATAACCTAGAATAGTTTTACACAATGTGCTCCATCAACGAAGAGTCATCTCCTAATGCATACTGCTTCGCCCTGTGACTGTTTACGTTGACAGATCGCAGCATCTTAAAAATAAATTAGCTCTCTGTTGTACTGTGATCTGTATTGAACACGTGCCTTGAGTGAGTCAGTGAGTAAGGTTTTACCCATGTGGGGAATCGAACCCGGGTCTTTGGCGTGACGAGCGAATACTTTTACTACTAGACTACCCCACCGCCCCCATGTGTCATGCTAAAGAGCATCTGATAGTATGTACGGCGGTAAGCTCGGGTTAAGCTTGCGTTAATGATCTCGGCCGAGTATTGCAGCCAACGGAACAGATAGGTGTTTCCATAGGGGGAAATTTTTAAGTGATAGAATAAAGCGACAAAAAGCATTTCCATAATAAGAAATATTTACTGAGGCGGAGTCCATTGTACGATTCCGATTATATCATAAGCATCTGATTAGGAATCACGTTTCAATAGTGACGACACAAGGTATTATGTTTTTCACTGATCAAAGCTTTACTTTCAAGTAGTTAAAGAATGTGATAATACCTGGTCAACGTTTAAGTGAAACAAATCCAAAGGCTATGATTTAAGTGAAAAAACATCTTACTATTATTAAATTATACTATCAAACATCTTAATAATAATTTCGACTGTTGAAACGTGTTCGTTATAGCCGCAGTTTGTTTCTCACAAAACCGCAATTTGTTACAATGCTTTTAACAACAGCTGCATGTTAAATGACAGTTGGTAATTTGGATACAGGACATGTTGAACAGGAATGTATTTGTCAGATTTTGTGAACGTGTTTCTAACTTCAGAATATACTATTTCGAACATTGCCTACAGAGCGAAGTAAATTCTACCTAACCTCTACATGTTATCCCAGTCACCCGGGAATGAAACGGGTGTCAGACTGACTGGTTATCGATCCGTGGGTAGGAAACTACACAAAAACAGCCAGACAAAAACCAGTTGTATCTGAGAATACACAATGCCATTTAGAATGTGGGCAAATGTAACAAATGTTATATTTGGGAAAACACTTTCTTAGTAAAGTACAAATTCTAGTACTTTGGGGGGATGAGTCCCTCTGGAATTCGAACACAAGCTCTCAGAGTGAGGCCCCAATTGCCAGCACACAAAGTCAGCGATCTAACCCACACAGGCACTGTGTTTGTGGGTTCGAATCAAGGGTGGGACTCAACCCAAAAAAGTAATAGAATTTGTACTTTACTAAGAAAGTGTTATCGCAAATATAACACATGCTACAGTTGTTACTGCTCGTTAAAGTACCATGATAATACGCGCATAATACAGGTGCAGTACGAATATACACAAGTTAGTTCAAATGCAGTACAGATATTTATATATTCACACGTATAACTAATGCACTGTATGATATTTACGTACAGCTTACTTGTGTCGTTTTTATTTGTATTTATTTATTTATATTTAACTTTCAGGCTATATTTTAAATCTGATTACGCAGTTATTTTGGTGCTATTTTGTAGTCATGCGTTACAAATAATGAGTGAGTGAGTGAGTGAGTGAGTGAGTGAGTGAGTGAGTATGGTTTTACGCCGCCTTTAGCAATATTCCAGCAAATATCACGAAGGGGGACAGCAGGAATGACTTTTACATTGTACACACGTGAGATCGAAGGTAGACCTTCGGCTTGACTAGCGAACGCTTTAAACCACTAGGCTACCCCACCACATCACAGATAGGCTGCCCATCATAATACCAGGTATCAAATGTCTCTGAACCGATTTGTTCTACGTGTATTGGCTGGGGTACCAGTTCCTTAAAAAAAAAATATTATTATTTTTTTTATTTTTTTTATTTTTTTGGGTGTGTGTGTGTGACTTGTTTGTTGTTTAACGCCATACACAGCAATGTTCCAGCTAAATGACGGCGGTCTGTAAATAATCAAGTCTGGACCAGACAATCCAGTGATTGACATCATGAGCATCGATCCACGCAATTGGGATACGATGACATGCATCAAGCAAGTCAGCGAGCCTGACCACCCGATCCCGTTAGTCGCCTCTTACACCGACTCTGTGTTTGCTCGAACACATTAACACTCACAAAAGCACATCATGTAATTTATTTTTATTTTCTATCACAATCTCCTAAGTAATCAAATACATTAATTTGTACACATCCAAACTAACAGCAGACATATCCCGTCGTTATTAGTCTGCTTGTGATCACAAATGAATAAAATCGTTAATAACCAATTGCTCCTTCCCCTACAACCAATCAAAATGTACGGGTAATTTGAAACTTCTCGTAAGCCAATGACGAATGATGAAGGAGTTTGAACCAATCACAATCGTCGGTAAAATCCAACCAAGGAGAGTAATCCAATATTCACGAATCTTGATGATCAACACAATGTGTCACAGCTTCTAATGCATTAGCTATAAATGCAAGTAAAATGGCAGTTGTCTTGCTCAGCACTAGGTGATGCGCTAAGTTCTACAGAATAACTTAAAACCAGTCTTAGACCGTAAATACAACGTATGTACACGTCACCTTCGGAGAGGAACACCTTCCCATCAGTGTCTTGAGTCTTAGGTAAGTAAATATATATATACATCCAGCATGTCACTTTTGGTAATCCACGAGAGCTCCCCGCAGTGTACATTATTAAAAGGCCAGATGGCAGTCTGGAGAATACATCAGTTTGCACAAGTAAAGATCCAGCACATGAACATCGCTTTGCACATTCCAAGTTTGGGCACAATTAATACACCGACATATATATGTATATATACATCCATAGAGAATATCATTCCATGTATATCTTTCACATCAAAGTATATTCAAGCCACCGGTTTTCGACACCAATACGTTGATTCCTTAAAATATATCCTTTCAGGGCAGGTCCAAACACAGTATTATCCAATCTTGGAAAGAATCTCACAAAACGTTTATGTCGCCACATTCATATCTGGTCTGGGGCTAAACCCTCCGTTCAGTTTCAAAGGTTGGTTTTTATCTTTCTTCACCAAATTCAAAGGTTCATCCCTCCTGGGGATTTTGAAAAGTCCAGATTCGTCAAGGGTCGCTTTACTCAGGTCGTAGGCACCGTGACCGTTTGTATAATGTCCGTTCATATTTGGCATTGATAATTTCTTTGGTTCGGCCTGTTTACGACCAACAGAGTGGGTCTTTCTGACCTCAGACGAGGCTTTGCCATTTTCGATGCTTTTCTTGGGTTCGATAGTCTGATGTTTCTTCGGTTCTGATGGCCGCTTTGTTTCCGACTGTTTCCTGTTGTCGTTTCTCACATCATTTAACATCTTCTTCATGTCTGTCGGCGGTTTCTTGAGCTCAATGGTGGTTTTCTTTGGTTCAATTCTTCGAAGTTCTGTCTGAGGTTTCTTGCCATCCGCTTGCTTCTTAACCTCATTAGCAAGTTTCTTAACTTCAGAAGGCTTTCTCACTTCCTGTAAAGGTTTTTTAACCTCCAAGGAAGTTTTCTTCGCTTCTTGAAGACTCTTTTTGGCATCATGGGCGCCCTTTTTAGCATCAGCAACAGTCTTTTTCATTTCTGGGCATGGTTTCTTGTTCTCCGTTTGCTTTTTGGTTTCAGACTCTTTGGTGGTTGACTGGGAAACAACTTTCACTATGTCAGCCTGACATTTAGACACTGTTGTTTTCAAAGAGTCTTTCTCTTTGGAATTGGTGGTAACCTTTCCCTTCGGTTCCATGTGGATTTTGAGACAGGGTGTGTCTTTAGCTTTAGGACAGAGTGTGTCATTTGATTTGGGACGTGTTATTTCTTTCCCTTTGCTTTCGGCAGTGTTTTTTTGTATTTGTATGGTTGGGATGTTTAACATTGTGGGGGTGTTCACAATTTCGTTGTCGTAGTTGTTTTTCTTGGCGGTTTTGGTGGGCACATCGCAGCAGGTTTCAGCTTCGTCAGACAAAGCTTGGTCGTGAAGTCTTTTCAGTTTACGCTCATATATGGTGTAGTATAATCTCAACGGGCCCCTCTGGAACAAACAAAAATTGATTAGCTTCCAGGGCGGAATAGATACTATGATTTTCGTTGGAGTCGAATATGACGATTAGGTGATGTGATGTGTGACCTGGTTAACTGTGTCATCATGGTAGGTGCTCGTGTTATCAACCACTGGTTTGCTTGATCAAGACTGGATATATTTCAGAAAAGAGAGGAGAGCACAAGTACCTACATACTGCAGTACCACCTCAATTTATGGTTACATAACTGGTCTATACAATTTTGCAATACAATTTCACATCGAGTTTCACAAGTCGAGGATGGAGAGGGTGATATTTTCTATCTTGATAGTTTCAATCCAAAATCACGTCATCAAAATCAATCACATCACAAATGCTGCCGAACTAGATCAAATATATGTTCTGAATATCGTTTCAAGTAAGAATTTAAACCACACCATAAAAAAAACGCAATGGCTTTTGCACAATGCAGCCTTAGACAATTCATCAAGAGTAAGTCATCACGGAATGATTACAGGAATCGAACACGATTCCCCAATACAATGGCCGTAACTATTCCGAATGAGACGGAAAATCAATAAGTGGATTCGGTAACAGAAGACGTTTTTCATTTCATGAAGAATAGACAATGAGCCTCGCGTAGTGTTCCCGGTGAAGGTTCGCAGGTAGGAAATGAGTGGAAGAAGCTACACGCCTACACGTGAGGACAATATGTGAAGGCAATACTTCCCTAACAACCCGAGCAAACAACATGCTGCTTCCTTGTCTGATGCTTTTCGGGATTATAATTGAGTTAGTATGGGTTTTCGCCCTTTTTAGCAATATTCCAGCAATATTCCAGCAATATCACGGCGGGGGACAGCAGAAATGGGCTTCACACATTGTACCCATGTCGGGAATCGAACCCGGGTCTTCGGCGTGACAAGCGAACGCTTCAACCACGAGATTACCCGACCGCCCCTTGGATTATGATTGAACTGAGTGATTATTATATATATTTCGAGAGTAAGGATAACTCGTATTTCAAAGTGGGATTTGTTCGCGACGAAAATGTAGTGTACGTATTTATTCCCTTATTTCGATATGAAGTGGAATAATGGTTGGTTGGTTTGTTGTTTTACGCCGCACTCAGCAATATTCAAGCTATATGATGGCGGTCTGTAAATAATCGGGTCTGGACCAGACAATCCAGTGACTGATACCATAAGCATCGAGCCACACAATTGGGATCGATGACACGCGTCAACCAAATCAACTAGCCTGACCACCCGATCCCGTTAGTCGCCTCTTACGACTAGCGTAGTCGCCTTTTACAGCAAGCAGGGGTTGCTGAAGACCTATTCTACCACGGATCTTCACGGGTCTGGAATAATGGAAAATGTGTTAACCGGGAAATGATAATGTTGGAGGCGAATGAAACAATTGTTCTTGATATGAGTGATGGAGATGTACCCATGTCGCATCGTAGAGTATAAAGGTACACATGAATATAGGAAGCTTGTATTGGTATACTTTCAGACGACTGTGAGGTGAAATTGGGTTTAACGTCGCGTCCAAGATTATTGCACTTATATAGCGACGTGCATGCACGTGTATGTGTGTGTGTGGCTGCTTGTACTAGTCCGGACTGATGCCGATTTATAGTGCTAGCTCACTGAGATACCATGCCGCAGTTTAACATGAATACCCCACTCAGACACAGTATACTGACTCCGAGCCGACCAGTCCTTGTTTTAGCCCCTTAATGCCGAGCGCCAGACAGGGTAACAACAAGTACAATCTTTTAACGTCTTTTTGTATGACGCGGCCCGGGATCGAACCCTGGACCTTCCGCTCTCCGGGCGGACGCTCTACCACAAGACCACGGAGGCGGTCTCAGACGACTGTGGAGCACGAGATGAGTGAGTGATGTTTTATGCCGCATGTAGCAATATTCCAGCAATAGCACCTCCCCAGTGAGGGGTATTCCATTCACGCTCCAATCCCTCTGGTGATATATCATGTCTTGTATCTACGTAGATATAGACACATTTCAGGTGTGAACAGTACGTTACGCGAAAGGAAACAAATATTGACACGATTAGTACCTCCTGACACGTAGAACTATATGAAATATGTTTCTCCGTCAGTTGGTGCCCACGGTAGTTTATTTTCACGATACCATTAATGCTAGTCAGATTATTTGAACATGATTAATAACGCATTAATTATTAAAACCTTTGTTACCTTATTGAAATATTCACATGACATTTACAATTCAGGAAATACCAGTGGCTCTTGACCTTTTTGTTAAAAAATATGAAGTGTCCGTGAGTGCGTCCTTATATACCACGTGACTTATATACTGCTCAAAAGAACATAAAGAACACCCGATAGTTTCATATATCTAACGTTTGTCTGTCACGGCCATTTCTTTTGAGTAGTATATACCAAGGACATATGGAAATATGGAAATATGGACATAAGGACATATATATGATATATACCAGGGTCATATGGGGCTATATGCTATACGTACCCTCCTCCACGTGTATATGTAGGCGATATCCATCAGGGTGTAATATTCCCGCAGGGCTTCGTCAGTGTGGAAAATGTCGATCTGAAACAAAAGCAAGCGTGATTAACACTGAAAACGACCAAGTCTGGCGTTGTTACACTTGCCGATGTCGCAGTTTTATAATGTACAGTGCAGGCTGGTCCAAGTCATGGTGAGTTTGTTTAGTAAACATGTTCCACGGCGGACCAGACCGCAGTTTCAACAAGCGAACGCGCGGGGCCACGAAACGACAACATGTTTACCAGTATAACAGAGGAGTGAGTGAGTGAGTGAGTGGCCACTGTGAACGACATTTCAGAACAATAGTGGAAAATGTCGTACACCTTAACCACGTGAAACCCAAGGAATATAATCTGGCGAATCGTAGAACTAACGACATACTGGCTATCCAAATGGAGCAATATACCATTCAAGGGATTCGTAACAAAATATTCAACTTGATATAAGTAAATATTTTCATCATCGGAATACCACGAGAGCTGCAAGCTGTGTATTCAAGTTACTAGTAAGGTCTAGAAAATGTAAAAGTTACAAATTGTTCCTCGTGATCTGTTTGCCAAACTCCAGACAGTGGAGACGAGCAACTCACATATTAATGATCGATATGCTCCATCGGGGCTGGATATCTTAACAGCACTGCCCTAATTACGCATTGGCATCATGAATCAATTCGGATCCGAAGTTGATAAGCTCGACCAGTCATCTGTAAACATGCCCTGGATTTATAAAACGCAATTTTTCACTGTCGGAGCGAGGTTCGTTAGTGTACCAGTAAATCTACCGACAGCGTGGCTCTAGATTCCGGGGCGTTAGCAAACCTGTCTCCTTGTAGATATCACAATGCCGCCAAATACAGCTACAGTAGAGTCGGGGCTGAGCTTGTCCAGACCAGCATTAAGCAGCCTGTCAAATGTTACACAGCGTATGGTCATACGTGAACCGTGCGTAGGAGGCTCCACCAGAACAACTTTAGAAACAAAACGTCTAACAGTTTTTTGTGTGTGTGTTTTTTTTATGATTAATAGAACACACGTATTGACTATAGATACTTATTCTGGACATATCTTCTTTTTTCTGTTATTTTTAAAAGGCAATTTATCGGGAATTAAAACTGTATGACGGTCAAGGACAGGCAAACCAGTGACTGAAAGCCATCTACGCAATCGGGACACGAAGAGACGCAATCAGCTGATTCTAAAAACCTAGCCACCCAATCCCCATTGTAGTCGCCTCCATGACAAACTTTCTGTCCAGGAAATCTCACAGTCGGCTCCACGACAAGCGTTCTAACCAGCAAATCTCACAGTCGCCTCCATGACAAGCTTTCTGTCCAGGAAATCTCACAGTTGGTTCCATGACAAGCTTTCTGTCCAGGAAATCTCACAGTCGCCTCCATGACAAAGCTTTCTGTCCAGGAAATCTCACAGTCGCCTCCATGACAAGCGTTCTAACCAGGAAATCTCACAGTCGGTTCCATGACAAGCGTTCTAACCAGGAAATCTCACAGTCGACTCCACGACAAGCGTTCTAACCAGGAAATCTCACAGTTGGTTCCATGACAAGCGTTCTAACAAGGAAATCTCACAGTCGGTTCCATGACTAGCGTTCTAACCAGGAAATCTCACAGTCGGTTCCATGACAAGCGTTCTAACAAGGAAATCTCACAGTCGGTTCCATGACAAGCGTTCTGTCCAGGAAATCTCACAGTCGCCTCCATCACAAGCGTTCTAACCAGGAAATCTCACAGTCGACTCCACGACAAGCATTCTAACCAGCAAATCTCACAGTCGACTCCACGACAAGCGTTCTAACCAGGAAATCTCACAGTTGGTTCCATGACAAGCGTTCTAACAAGGAAATATCACAGTCGCCTCCATGACAAGCGTTCTAACCAGGAAATATCACAGTCGGTTCCATGACAAGCGTTCTAACCAGGAAATATAACAGTCGGTTCCATGACAAGCGTTCTAACCAGGAAATATCACAGTCGGTTCCATGACAAGCGTTCTAACCAGGAAATCTCACAGTCGCCTCCACGACAAGCATTTTAACCAGGAAATCTCACAGTCGACTCCACGACAAGCGTTCTAACCAGGAACTCTCACAGTCGGTTCCATGACAAGCATTCTAACCAGGAAATCTCACAGTCGACTCCACGACAAGCGTTCTAACCAGGAAATCTCACAGTCGACTCCATGACAAGCTTTCTAACCAGGAAATTTCACAGTCGACTCCACGACAAGCGTTCTAACCAGGAAATCTCACAGTCGACTCCATGACAAGCTTTTAACCAGGAAATCTCACAGTCGACTCCACGACAAGCGTTCTAACCAGGAAATCTCACAGTCGACTCCACGACAAGCTTTCTAACCAGGAAATCTCACAGTCGACTCCACGACAAGCGTTCTAACCAGGAAATCTCACAGTCGACTCCACGACAAGCTTTCTAACCAGGAAATCTCACAGTCGACTCAACGACAAGCGTTCTAACCAGGAAATCTCACAGTCGACTCCACGACAAGCGTTCTAACTAGGAAATATCACAGTCGGTTCCATGACAAGCGTTCTAACCAGGAAATCTCACAGTCGGTTCCATGACAAGCGTTCTAACCAGGAAATCTCACAGTCGACTCCATGACAAGCGTTCTAACCAGGAAATCTCACAGTCGCCTCCATGACAAGCTTTCTAACCAGGAAATCTCACAGTGGCCTCCATGACAAGTGTTCTTACCAGGAAATCTCACATTCAGCTCCATAACAAGCGTTCTAACCAGGAAATCTCACAGTCGGTTCCATGACAAGCGTTCTAACCAGGAAATCTCACAGTCGGTTCCATGACAAGCGTTCTAACCAGGAAATCTCACAGTCGACTCCACGACAAGCGTTCTAACCAGGAAATCTCACAGTTGGTTCCATGACAAGCGTTCTAACAAGGAAATCTCACAGTCGGTTCCATGACAAGCGTTCTAACAAGGAAATCTCACAGTCGGTTCCATGACAAGCGTTCTGTCCAGGAAATCTCACAGTCGCCTCCATCACAAGCGTTCTAACCAGGAAATCTCACAGTCGACTCCACGACAAGCATTCTAACCAGCAAATCTCACAGTCGACTCCACGACAAGCGTTCTAACCAGGAAATCTCACAGTTGGTTCCATGACAAGCGTTCTAACAAGGAAATCTCACAGTCGCCTCCATGACAAGCGTTCTAACCAGGAAATATCACAGTCGGTTCCATGACAAGCGTTCTAACCAGGAAATATAACAGTCGGTTCCATGACAAGCGTTCTAACCAGGAAATATCACAGTCGGTTCCATGACAAGCGTTCTAACCAGGAAATCTCACAGTCGCCTCCACGACAAGCATTTTAACCAGGAAATCTCACAGTCGACTCCACGACAAGCGTTCTAACCAGGAAATCTCACAGTCGGTTCCATGACAAGCATTCTAACCAGGAAATCTCACAGTCGACTCCACGACAAGCGTTCTAACCAGGAAATCTCACAGTCGACTCCATGACAAGCTTTCTAACCAGGAAATATCACAGTCGACTCCACGACAAGCGTTCTAACCAGGAAATCTCACAGTCGACTCCATGACAAGCTTTCTAACCAGGAAATCTCACAGTCGACTCCACGACAAGCGTTCTAACCAGGAAATCTCACAGTCGACTCCACGACAAGCTTTCTCACCAGGAAATCTCACAGTCGACTCAACGACAAGCGTTCTAACCAGGAAATCTCACAGTCGACTCCACGACAAGCTTTCTAACCAGGAAATCTCACAGTCGACTCAACGACAAGCGTTCTAACCAGGAAATCTCACAGTCGACTCCACGACAAGCGTTCTAACCAGGAAATATCACAGTCGGTTCCATGACAAGCGTTCTAACCAGGAAATATCACAGTCGGTTCCATGACAAGCGTTCTAACCAGGAAATCTCACAGTCGACTCCATGACAAGCGTTCTAACCAGGAAATCTCACAGTCGCCTCCATGACAAGCTTTCTGTCCAGGAAATCTCACAGTGGTCTCCATGACAAGTGTTCTTACCAGGAAATCTCACATTCAGCTCCATAACAAGCGTTCTAACCAGGAAATCTCACAGTCGCCTCCACGACAAGCGTTCTAACCAGGAAATCTCACAGTCGACTCCACGACAAGCGTTCTAACCAGGAAATCTCACAGTCGACTCCATGACAAGCTTTCTAACCAGGAAATATCACAGTCGACTCCACGACAAGCGTTCTAACCAGGAAATCTCACAGTCGACTCCATGACAAGCTTTCTAACCAGGAAATCTCACAGTCGACTCCACGACAAGCGTTCTAACCAGGAAATCTCACAGTCGACTCCACGACAAGCTTTCTCACCAGGAAATCTCACAGTCGACTCAACGACAAGCGTTCTAACCAGGAAATCTCACAGTCGACTCCACGACAAGCTTTCTAACCAGGAAATCTCACAGTCGACTCAACGACAAGCGTTCTAACCAGGAAATCTCACAGTCGACTCCACGACAAGCGTTCTAACCAGGAAATATCACAGTCGGTTCCATGACAAGCGTTCTAACCAGGAAATATCACAGTCGGTTCCATGACAAGCGTTCTAACCAGGAAATCTCACAGTCGACTCCATGACAAGCGTTCTAACCAGGAAATCTCACAGTCGCCTCCATGACAAGCTTTCTGTCCAGGAAATCTCACAGTGGTCTCCATGACAAGTGTTCTTACCAGGAAATCTCACATTCAGCTCCATAACAAGCGTTCTAACCAGGAAATCTCACAGTCGCCTCCACGACAAGCGTTCTAACCAGGAAATCTCACAGTCGACTCCACGACAAGCGTTCTAACCAGGAAATCTCACAGTCGACTCCACGACAAGCGTTCTAACCAGGAAATCTCACAGTCGACTCCACGACAAGCGTTCTAACCAGGAAATCTCACAGTCGACTCCACGACAAGCGTTCTAACCAGGGACTACCACAGTATCTAAATTTCGGGTTAAAGCTTATATAGTAGAGCGGTCTGATTAAGTTGGCAAAAACAAACTTATAAAAAATATCCAGATAAATACAAATGTTTATTACTTTCAAATGAAAAAGTGTTAAATTTCATCCCATATGAAGTAACATATAAACTTTCAAAATATTTTACGTCAGGGTAATACCTAGAGTGCAATAGGATTGAATTGAAAGTTGTGGCGTTTGTTGACCCATGGATAATGGTATAAATGCTCCCAAAAGAATATAACAGTGAAATAGGGTACACACCAATATTATCCTTCATTCGGAGAAATTTCGCCAGGGATGCTACAAAAAGCGCGCATATGTCACTGTGACGTCATAAAGTTATATCAATAGTTAACGAGAGAGTTTGGTTAAAAAGCTGCTTTGAACAGTATTCCAGTTACATCACTTAACGGAAGCCTGAAGTGATGCAGGTCTCAGACGTTTACCACTTTGGTGAAATCCACGAGCACGGGTAGGGTGCTGACAAACCTAGGAACCATACTTCCGCCGTAAAGATGTTTAGATTCCAAAAGAAACGATGCATATAAATCGAACGAAATACAAAACTTAGTTTTCGGGGGAATTCTGTGAGCATGTCTGTGAAAGGACGACATGAGTGTGGAATTGACGCTGAAAGAAGTGTTTCACCAGTGCGATACGTCAGTGCACCTCTTTTAACAAATATTGTTAGAATTATTTATAATTCTCCTGTTTTTAGAAATCAAAACGGTTCAGACAAACGGCTATTTCAATTTACCTTAAACATATCAACTGTCATAAGTAATATTAATATTTAACGTCTACACAAAGATTGACACATCAATAAAATAATTATTTTGTCTTTTGATAATTATAGTGGGTTTAGGACAACGAGAATATTGTAATTGTATCCGTGGTTCACAATGTATGCTTGATTAGCTTCATGTATGCTTGATTAGCGTCATGTAAACTTATTCGTACCAATTTCGGAAAACACCCGTGAAGATCCAGGTTAGACTATGACTCTAGCAACCCATGCTTGTCGTAAGAGGTGACTAACGGGATCGGGTGGTCAGGCTCGCTGACTTGGTTGATGCATGTCATCGTATTACAATTGCGTAGATCGATGCTCATGATGTCAATCACTCTATTGTCTGGTCCAGACTCTATTATTTACATACAGCCGTCATATACCTGGAATATTGCTGAGTGCGGCGTTAAACAAACAAACATTTCGCAAAAGTACGTCGGTTAATAGAAAAATAAATAGAAAACCTTTGTAATAAAATCATAAATACACTTTCGCATATTTCATGATGAAATTCGAATGACAACTGTATTTGTTGTACCTGGTAATTCAGTGGCAAGTCGTATTTAAGTCGGATGAATTTCTTCAGATGTGAGACTGTAACGGCGGCTGGGCACTGGAGATACCGTACGTCCCGATTCTGTAAAGAAAAATAATATTTGACAATTCATATTTGTGTGTGCATGAAACGTACCACAGAATTGAGTAGAGAGCTACATAACATGTCATTATGTACGGTAACATCTCCCCGGGTAGTAGTTTGTTAAGTAGTTCGCTAAAGATGCATAATAACGATTAGCCTGCCAATATAGAAATTGTTGCAATCTAACAATGAACGACAGTTTTAAACTTTTAGCAATTTTCCAGAAACATCACTGCAGAGTACACCAAAATGGGGTCAAAGCATCGTATCGATGTGGGAATCGAACCCGGGCCTTCAACATGACGAGCGAACGCTTTAACCACTAGGCTACCCCACTGCCCGAAGGCAAATAAAACTGCAGATACGCAGTTTCCATGCAGCGTCTGGTATGACCTATTTCATATAAAATTAACAACATTCTACACAATACCATCCTCAAAACAAAATACTTCAGAATAGAAGGAATATTTACAAGGGAAAAGTTTCAACAATTTTGGAAAATACATAAAGGCGAGTTGGTTTTTAAGCCGTTTTAGCTTCTCCACAGCAATATCAAAGCGAGAACACCGCGAATTAGCTTCCCAAATTAAACCCATGTGCATAACGAACACGATCGTGAACGCCGTCCCTAAGTGACCATGAAAGATTGCAGTTTGATTAAGTTCCTAGAAGGCCACGTTTTCCTTCGTTCTTTGCTAAAGCCCTTCTGTCTTCGCGTTCTTACCTCTCCGTTCTTGGGACTGGAGATTCCTTTCTTCAGATTTTCTTGTCGCATTCTCCGCAGAACCTCGGGATCAGGGATTCCTCTACAATGCACAAATTGTATCAAATATTAGCAGGGGACATTTTTCAGTTGTAAGACTGTGTAGTCAGAAATATTGTGCAACTGGAGCCTTAAAAGAGTAAAGCGCGGGTCATGAAGTTGACTTTGCGTTGTGCTTGTTAAAAGAAATGGTTATTCGATGGTGATGTATTTGACACGGGTACCATAGTTGTGTTATGGACCTTTGGTTTGGAGTGTTTCGGCGACTGATTTCAGCCTTGTAACGTTTTGATCATGCTTGTAATATGTTGGTCAAATCCATTTTTTAAGTATATACACTTTCTTTCGCCCCGCAGTTTATGTTGTCGTTACTGTGCTGAATGGGGACCGTGTGAAGGTTTGTTTGTTTGTTTATTTATTTGTTTGTTGTTTAACGCCGCACTCTGCAATATATTTACGAGTCTGGACCAGACAATCCAGTGACTGACATCATGAGCATCGATCTATGCAACTGGGGTACGATGACATGCATCACCAAGTCAGCGAGCCTGACCACCCAATCCTGTTAGTCGCCTCTTGAACAAAATGGGGACCAAATAAGATTTACCGGACGCGAAATCATTCATCCTGTACGCATTAAAAAATTAACATCGGTCGCAAAAAAAATAGGCAAAAATGCTGCTATTTGATTACCTAGCACCACTTAATTTTTTTTATTAAATTATTATTAGATTTGTTTCATTTCGGTTTAATTACATATCTGTTTTTAACTAACAGTCTCTGGGCATGTGCACGTCACTTGTGGTAGAATTGTATGAATGAAGAAATTGTTTGTATAATTTAAGGGTCACACATGAAAATACATATACATCCTAAAAATATGTTTATATTTTTTATGCAAGGCAAAAATAGGCCTAGGAGACAGTATACACTAAAACTTTACATTACAGTATTACATAGCTTCTATTTTTTAACATTATTATAAAATATGCAGTAAGTAAAAAGAATAGAAAAACTTTACTTGGATAAACAACGTTTAAAAAGCGTTTTGGCATTTTGCATTAACATAATAATGTTTGCATCTTGTGTAATATTGGCAAAAGCAGGATTATTAAATATACTGAGTAATTCAATCAGGTGAATATCATTATGAAATGAATATGGTAGGAAAAATGCTTTTCATCTTCGACACGATTAGTACAGAATTTACACAATCTTTCTATTGGAGAAGTAGGAGGAAAAGTAGGGGGAGAAGTAGGGGGATAACTGTGTCTGTCCGCTTCTAGTTCTAGTTTATGAGAACCACACCAAAGAGAAGCTAAAATACTACACTGGTACAGAGTGCTGTATTCGATATTAGCAACTGGGGACTATCTTAACCATATAGACAGTGCGTCACTTGGACCCCCAAAATAACTACTCGAGGTACATTACTGCCAAATATGTCCCCCATTCCTACGAGGTTGTATTCCCTCCTACAATATTCCAGGAATGACGGGGGGGTCGTCTCAACCAGGAGCACGTTTGTGCAGTACGAGTTGATTGTTTGTGAGTATCTTTGTTTCAGCATCGTATCAGCTTGTTGGGGTTCCTGGGTTTATCTGGGAGCAATTCCCGGAGGAATCCAGGCCAATGCCGTTTAGACGGTTCGGTGTAACTATTAAATCAAGGTTCTGGCCGGTTCATGAATAAATTACCTGCTGCACTAGTTGCGAAAGAAAGAAAGCTCATTGACAGCCGAAAAGATTGGAACAGATGATGGAGGGTTAATAACAGCTATGCCGGTCAGTCGGGAGAGAGAGAGAGGGGGGGGGGGGGGGGGGGGGAGAGAGAGACACAAGATGGCGAGAGAAAGAGGGGGAACAGAGAGAGGGGATAGAGAGAGAAAAGAGAGAGGGGATAGAGAGAGAGCGGGCAGGGGACGGAGAGAGAGGGGAGGGAGGGAGGGATGGAAAAGAGAGGGGATAGAGAGAGCGGGAAGGGAGGGAGAGAGAGCGGGAGGGGACGGAGAGAGAGGGGAGGGAGGGAGGGAGAGAGAGGGAAAAGAGAGAGCAGGAGGGGAGGGAGAGAGAGAGTGGGGAGGGAGAGATAGAGAGAGAGACAGGGAATAGCGAGAGAGGGGGATAGCAAGAGAGAGAGAGCGGGCGGGGAGGGAGTGAGAGGGAGAGAGAGAGAGAGTGGGGAGGGAGAGATAGAGAGTTCATGTGATGGAGTTGACAGTGACGCAAGGCCATACAGCCTAGCAAATGATGGATTCGAACTCATGACAGGCGGGTGCATCTGACGTTAAGTTATTCCACATACACTGGCACAAAATCTATTCATAATACTACAGCATTTAACAATCTGATAAAATTTCGCAACCTTCAACAAATCACTTCTCTAATTGGGAATTTCCTTGTGTTAATCGCAAATGTTTCTAGCAAACTATTTAATCATGTATTTTGTCTTTGACAAGTGAATGACGTGGGGACGCAGAAGCTAATGCTGTAATTGGCCGTTTCCTACCGAGGAACCGGAAGCTCTCCTAGCGCTGGCTGTATCGGTAGATCGCCGGTAGACCCCGACCACGTATTGCTACCAAGCCATGTGTTACATCATCACTTAATCTGGTAGTTAATTGGTGTTTTTGACGGACACGAACTCCAAATGAAAAATACAGGAACGAACGATAAATGCGTATCATGAGGTCGGGTAATCAATTAAGAGAATTCACCAGGTTGTGTACAAAACGCTGAGAGTGAGCGAGTGCGTGTTTACGCCGTTCTTTGGTATTTTCCAGCAACATGGAAGAGGACACCCGATACGGCTTCACACATTGTACCCATGTAGAGACTCGAACCCAGGCCTCCGGCGTGACAAACGAACACTTTAACCACTAGGCTACCCCACGCCCGATTGATATGAATGAGAAAGAAATTTCAGCATTGTTTCTGCATGACGATTGTTGACAAGAACGATACTGTGGAGCTAGCAAACTGACCAAGCAGGTTGACCAACACACGTGTGATATAATCCTTTGTTGATCTGTCTTCTAACTAATCCTGGTCGAAATAATAATCCGAGATTTGGTCACTGACGTCAAGTTTACTTCCTATACAGGTGTTGGTCATCGTGAATACTTACTCTTGACAATACGCCAGTGACATACTGATGTTCTCGTCGGCCGTGTATATGAACCGCTCCGCCATCTCGTCCCCTCGGGCCTCGCTCGGGGCTTTCGGCGCTTCTGTGGACGAGACAAGATAAAATATATCAGCATAATTGGTATCTACAAATCTTTCTTAATCGTGCTCTGACACCACGTGGGGCTGGAAACACCAGGAATGGTCGAGAATTCTCAACAGTTTCACAACACCAGGTGTCCAACTTTAAGTGAGTGAGTGAGTGATTTGGTTCAAAGCCGCATTGAACAGTGCTTCACTTATATCGTCACGTGTCAGCCTGGCGAGGAAGGAACGCCCCACGTGAAATGTTTATCATTATGTGAAACTTACGAGGTGTAATCTGTCGCACAATCCCTCAGCCATGTTATTTTCCCTTGTGACCAGTAGATTCATGTTATGTTATAATCATTTTCACATGCATGCGTATTTTTAAAAATCTTCTAGAATCAAATTTATGTTTGAGCAAATAGTCAGATTTATTTGACGTCTTCTTAAAAATAAATAAGATGATTAATTTGCTATTTATTTCTTCTCCGATGTAACGTGTTAGTGCACTCCATATAAGCTTGACGCTGATATACAAACCAAAACGAACAGTTATGTCAAATAATAACAAGGGCAAAAGTGAGCGTGGCCCACTAATACCCCCGACCCTCCAAGTGTGTCAGTAGTTTCAAATTAAATAATGGATAGGGTTAGGGTTTGAAAAATTCATAAAAAAATGGAAAATTAATAAAAACATTTTTTTTCTTTTGACTGCACCCCTCCATATGACACAGATTATATGTACTAAGTTTGAGATGAATCCACTGAATAGTTTAAGAGAAATCGCGCGGACAAATTTTCGGACGGACGGACGGATGGAACCTTGGTATAACTATATACCCCCGACCTAAAAGGTCGGGGTTTAATAAGGAGAATATAAATAACAACAACAATAATAGGGCTCTGTCATTGTAGGCTTGGAGCAATAATAATAATAAAAATAATAATAATTATGATGATGATGATGATGATAACGATAACAATAATAAAAACGTAAAAATCAATGTCCGCAAATACTTTCAATTTAGCTTACCTTTCTTTGGACTTATAGCATAGTATTCCCTCCGCCGCTTCATCTCTCCTGAAATAGGGAGGTCAAGATGGAGGTCATATTTTCTAATATCAAACCACTAATGATGCACCACTGTCTAGGCCGTATCTAAGGTGATATAGGTGAATTAATGTCTTTAAATGTATCGTTATCATAATATCTATCGTAATTGTAAAATGATAACATTAATAAATTATTTTAAAATTCATAAAACAGAACAATAAATACACGAACTTAACACAATTTCAGGTACACAAATTCGACAATATGAGTGAGCAGCTTTGTACGCGGCTTTTAACAATATTCCAGCAATATATTGGTTTTTTTCTATATTCATCTACGTACTCAGCAATATTAAAGCTTTATAACGATGGCTTGTTAACGAAAGAGTCCGGACCAGAAAAACCAGTGGTTGATATTATGAACAACGACTCACGCGGTTGGAGTACGTCGACACGAAATCAACCAAGTTACCGAGCGTGACCTCTCGATTCAAAATAATCGCCTCTTACAACAAGCATATCGTACTGGGGACCTATCCCCACCTGGAGTACCCATGGGGATCCGTCAACACCACGATAAAGATAGTGATAACATTCTTTGGATCATGTTGGAAAGGGGCGGTCGGGTAGTCTAGTGGTTAAAGCGTTCGCTCGTTACGCCGAAGACCCGGGTTCGATTCCCGACATGGGTACAATGTGTGAAGCCCATTTCTGCTGTCCCCCGCCGTGATATTGCTGGAATATTGCTAAAAGCGGCGTAAAACCATATTCACTCACTCATGTTGGAAATCGAACCTGGGTACATAGCATGATGAACGAACGCTTTAACCATATGACAACTTAACTCACCCTTGTACAGCCCCGGAACTAACTTGTAGACCAGATCCTGAAGAGTCTTGTCGGCTCTGAAAGCACATCAATTGATATAGAAATGTTATAATTTGTTTGTGTGTTGCTTAACGTCGCATCAGCAATTTTCCAGCCAAGGTCTGTTTAGAATTGACATATATAGAAATTCGTTTGAAATATTAATATCAGGCACGAGTCATTCCCTCTTGTGGCTCGTCAAGTAATAAATAATCGATTTTCTTTTCTCTGTAGACATCGACGTTTAATCAAAAACGTTGTTAATATAGATTAGTTCCACTTAAATATTAGAATGGGAATGAACAAGTATTTTAGACAGATGGGGAACTGTTTTCTGTACGACGAACGTTGATGTCCCTACATGCCGTCCTTCCACCGGCCGCGACGCTACAGACTTTATGCTTTATTAATTAATATATTTGAAAACCAATTAACTATATACAATAAAGTAATTTGATAATAAAATACGCACTTTCAACACACAGCGATAATTAAGTAATACAATATTTGAAAAGGAATACATCCACATGGTATGATTTATTGAAATTAATAAGTCTGGAACCGCAAATGAATTTGTTTAGTACATATATACGGTGTGTGCTCTTATTGGGAAAGAATGGATTTATTAATTGTCTTGAAATGATAATATACCATTCATTTTTTTTTAGGGATAATCAGATATGTCAATCTATTAGTTATTGACATAATATGAGAATCGTTTTTGTTTGTCATGGTTAGATAAAGAAATATCCATAAAATAGTATTTGGATGTTTTACGGGGTAACAAATACTACTTCATATATTTAATATCTACTGCAGACAAAACTCCCGTAACAGAATTTTGCACGCAAAAGCAAAATAACTTTACAATAACGAAATATTTGATTCTTTTCAATGTCCACTGTTTAGATCGCAACTCGAGTTAATACATCAAAACGGCTACGCGAGACGAGTCTTAGACTAACTTATAATCCTCTAAAAACGGTTATATATAATGACAAATGAACATAATTTCATGAAGGAACTGTGGAGTATTCAGGAGCCCTTAAATCTCTTAATTTCGGAATATGGAGAGGGTTGGGCGAGGCCGCCCGAGATGAGAGTGGAATAGGGGTGAATGTCTGATTAGATATATGCTCTGGCACCCGAAAGATTGACTAGAAAAGTCGCCCACACGCACGTTGTGGTGACGGTCGCAGATTAGTTATCGTTTATTAACGAAAATACGTTAACACGTTTATATGGAGCGACAATAACAACATTAGGGAAACATTTACCGGTCTGTCACCAAGAACATATCGAGTCAGATGTAAAAGTAACGAGGTCACATTCGTGACAGTACGTGCGGATTACGGAAATGGTCGAGAAGGTGTCGGATGATTCTGGAAAGGCGCGACGGTCACAATCACGTCGCCCGATGGCTCAGTGTGATGTTACGACGTTGATGTATCTTCCAGTCTGCGGCTTCACCTGCCGTCGCCCAGCCCGCTGATTACCACGCACTTATCGCCTGATGAGGCATGTGTATTGTCACACAAGGTACAGAAGTACGGCTCTACATTCCCAACAAACACTTCCGTAATCGTACGTATTCAGTCTTCACGTACGTCTGGTTTTAATACGGATACGGCAAAAGCTGTGTTCACTTGTATAAAGCGATCTTGGCGCTAAACTGTCGTAAATCCCATACTGCAGCTTGACGAATCAATGACGACAAGTATATCAAATGCAATTACCTATTTCGACTTGACCATATGTTTCCATGTTTTTGCAGGTATGCAATTGACTTGTCCTTGCGTGTGTTTATGACTGATTCGCAGGAAAAACAGGATACGTTTCGCGAATTTCTGATATTATTACAAGTGATGCAAAAACGTATGCTTATGACATAGTCGGACTTGTACAATGGTCTCACTCGAATTGTTAGAATTTTCTTATGATTATGGTTGTCGCTTGTATTTATTTTGCAAGTAGGTCCGTGGTGTCTGTACCTCTGTACTTGCGTCATAGGACTATCCGCTACTGACTGAGTCGCGAGCAATTACGCAGGACGCATGTTCCTATTCACGGTCTAAGCCTCTTTGAAAGAGGTTTTACCGACTAGCCACCGCGTAAATATTCACCTGAACTGTGAACTGTATTTCTGTGTAGGCACTGTCGATACAGTTTATAAAATTAATTGAGTAGGGTTCGGATACATCCATATTGTATAAAATCGAAAATCAAATTCAACACAAAATTTAAAAATCCGCTACAAATGGAAATTCATTTCGCATTACGTGTAACTTTGCGGCAGGAAGTTGTGTGTAGCGATCTCTGGTTTCAGTGTAGCGATCTCTGGTTTCAGTGTAGCGATCTCTGGATTCAGTGTAGCGATCTCTGGTTTCAGTGTAGCGATCTCTGGTTTCAGTGTAGCGATCTCTGGTTTCAGTGTAGTGATCTCTAGTTCCGGTGCAGCGATGTCTAGCTCTGGGACTATTTGCAGCTTAAGTAATTCAAACTGTCTTTATTATATTCTCCAACCCCTGCTGTTTGAAGCATACTAAACACGTGGCTATATTATGCTAATCTGGTATGTATGTAATCGTATTACAAGACCATAACGATCTCATCTGGTTAACCGGTTTCAACAAAACTAACACCACCAATCTCAATTTGCCATAAGGTTTAATGCATTCCACAAAATGCCATCTCTTTCCCACAAGAACCAGATATACTGACACACTATAAAAACGCAAAGTGAAATTTGAGAAATAATTTTCAGCAAATTGACAGAAAACAAAGAAATTGGTTTGTGGTCGTGAGGCCTGAAGGAATGCAACATTGCAATAATGTTTTCTGAGTCTGAATCCTCATTCACATCAGCTCCCAGTCACTTGAACTTAACAAGAGTCAAAATCCACAATGCGTTTTCAAAGTGTTTCAGTATATTAGATCAAAATACATACCTAATATTTTGATGGGGACGGGTCTTGTGCACCATGACGTCACAGATGGGACAGTACTTGCTCGTCTCGAGGTACCGGAGAATGCACGTCTTGCAGACTGGAAACAAAGGATGCATTTGTTGGTCAATGAGAACATCATGGTAAACGACTTTAATGTCGCACCGGCTGTGTTTAAGCCGCAGAACTACAACGAGGGCTAATGATGACACGAACATCACAGCAGAATTCGAACGGGATTATACGTACATGAACATGTGTAATAATAACGGTGATTAACGCTCCCTGAAAAGTGTATTCGTCGAATTACCTTACTTTCAGAAGATTTCGTAGCACTTTTAAAACGATATGCGTGAAATTAGCAACTTGATAATAGTATTTCAACAACAACATCCCAACGCTCAAAACAGTTACAGAACTGGCGTTCAAGCGAGCCGTTAAAACAGACGTAGAATTTCGATGAAAAGTTCCAAACCGAACGCCTGCGTAAATTCTTCAAGACGTTGATCCCACCAGATTCCAAGAAACAATTCCTTCATCAAAGGGCTCTTATGCACTCCAGGACAGCCCCTGTTCAACTTTAAAAATCATTTGGAACTGCGCAGATTTATAAACACATTCCTTCAGTTTAAACACGTCGGGCTGAGGAGCAATTGCGAGGACCGACCAACACAACGTTCACAATTCTACTACTGGCTTCCGCGAGAGAAAGGCGCAAAAATCGAAACGCTGCTATATTTAGCCGTCTAGAGCGATGACTTACAAGAATGCAAGCATTCGATAATGGTGGCGGCATCGATGAAGTAGCCACCGCAGAGGACGCAGATGAGGTGGGGGTTGATGTCGGTTATCTTCAAGCGGGTTGTCCGATGCATCTGAAACAAACAAGACGAATTAGCCCCTAGTATTTTCTTTGTGATATTAAGCCCCCGTTGCCGGGGGGAGAAAGTATTGTAGTCGGCCTTCATAGGAAGGCTTGTTAGTGGTCCTTCCTGTTCAGACAGAGCGCGTACATGGCGTTGGGCGAGCGGTTGGTATGTTAACTCGGTGAAACGTGGTTGTAAAAAATACGCTGTAGATAACCTAAATATATTTTATCTATATATTCCTTTTCCGCTTTAAACGCAATCTGATATGAAAGTAACCCGGTTTCTGAAAAGCGGAATATTATGTAAAAAATAATTAACACTTGATTTATAATTGCCTTAAAATAACAAGGTATAAAGATAATCGCTATTATAATTAAAATTAATGTGTGCGTGTGCGTGGTTTTACGCAGTGCGGCAAACTTTAAATTGTACTTATTGCGGCTGATTGTTGAACGACGTTACATAAGGAACTCTTCTACTTTGAGATATTATATATCAGCAAAATCACGTCATGGATACCATAAACGAATTCCTAATATATTGTACCCATGTTGGAATAAAACCAGGGGCCCTACGCCCCGATGATGATGATGATGATGATGATGATGATGATGATGCGATCATGACACTACTAACACCATACACCATGAAGACCTAAGCCAGGACCCACATATTCAGGGAGGGAATTTATAATCAACAAACACAAGTCTACAGAGAAGTAATTCACTTGAAAAACAAATGAACTGACATTTCCATTAATTTTATGCTACTAGTAAATTATGTAACGATGTCGTAACTAAAATATTAGCTCCACCATGTTAATATTTTATGTCAAATATAATCCAGCAGGCGACACATTAAACATGTATAATTATATATCGTCGTTTTTTATGGTATTTTTTCAGTATTCGTTCCAATTATAGCGTACCGACTGTTAGTCACATAGGGCTTATTAACACCAATTATGCATTCACGGTCGATGCACAAAGTAGAAATTCAATAATGTTAACAGCTTTAGGAACAAGCGGGGTCAAAGGTTGAACTTTAATTGGCACCTAACATGCAATAGAAATTGAATTACCAGATGAAAAGCAAACATGATGTTTAGAGGAGAGTTTGTTTGGCGTCCCTTTCTGGTGAATAGGCGTTCAAATCTTTTACGGTGTTAAATGTTTAAATCTAAGAGATGATATTTATGAAATTTATTAAATTTATGTTAGAGAAATGAAAATGTTTGAGACGCACGAGTGACATAATCTATGATATGCGGTCTAAAGAAATATTAAAATGAACTTATACAATATCATATTTTCATATTTCAGAAAGACACGAGCACGTACAACAAGCACAGAGATGACATTTTTTAATACTTGTAAGAACACCGCATTGCAAGCTAACACGGATTCATAGTTTTATGTCGTCTTTAAATTTAGTTAGTACACTGCGCCCCACTGTCTCTTAACCTTTTGAAGACACGCGGTAGGACTAATACACTCTTGGTTTGCGCTGACGTGATACCGATGAGTGTGTTTATGCAAATGTATGCAAATGTGATTAGCTAAAACTGGGAGTCGGGGGGTGTAGGACCGGTGTGTCGCCTGGAGAACAGATAACCGCCCGGGGGAGGGGGGAGGGGGAGGGCGTCACACAGTCACTTCTCATCAAATCACTCACGCCGTGTCAAAATGGGCAGAGGGAGATTTGCTATGGTTCGCCGCGACCAGGCGATACACGTCGGCCGTGGGCCAACCTCAGCTGGATCGGTGTCCTGGCTTACACATACATGTCCAGACGCCCAGCCCTCATAAGACGACGGGTTAGAAGAAATTGGGGATAATTTATACGGCAGGGAGACAGATTGCTTGGCATTTGACCAAAGCTTCCCTAGTGTGGGTCAGGTTTTTTCAAAGCTTTGTAATAAAACTGAAACATTTATCTTGTCGCGTTAGGATAGATAACAACCCTTGCGGCAATCTAGACGATTCCATTAGCTGAAGAGTTTTGAATACCAGCAGGCCGTTAATAAATAATGCCTGCCCAGAACGGCAGTATATTCACTGTGTACGCGTCTTCTCGTCATCTTCATCTTCATGTATCGATTTTTGGAAGGAGGCTAGCAGACAACACATGAACAAGCGACGAAAAGAAAACTTCGCTGCCGCGAAGAAGGTAGTGTTGTGGACAGGTCGGTGGCGACAACCATGTTTCCACTTCACTGACATGCAGTAAAGTGTTCGTTGGCGTGAAATTAATTTTGTGAGAGAAACATTACTGATTCGTCAAAATGGTAGAATAAATTGCCATATCATTTTCTTAGTTAAATCTGAATTCGAATAGTTTATTCCACACATACGAATACGTAGCTGAACAGAATTACAAAAATGATAAATATATCAGACGAGTCCTGGTATATTTTTTTCAGTACAGCTATATTCCTGTCCGCCTAATTTCCTTCACCATACATTTGATTTGACTTGATGTTGTTCACATCCTATGACGGTATTTACCGTGTGTCAGTGGTTCATCAAAGAAGCCGTCCATTTCTTCAAATGAGGAAAACAAAAGAAAACCGCCCCACATGGAATTGGTTCGACCCCGGAACAGCAAGAAGCCAGGCGAGACTCACTAGGGGGTGGGGGTGGGGTAAGGGGGTCTCTGCCCATCGTACAAGCTTTCCAAGGATGAAGAGATGCTGCATCTAATTTCCGATTGTTTCAAGAAATGGATTCTGGCTACATCTGAAGTAGAAGCATGTACTAGGGGTGGTGGTGATCAGATCTAGTCATGTGCTTGTCTGGGTAGGCACAGGGAGTGGGTTGGTTGGAGAGATCTCGCAAGATGAATCGATACCGAGGAGCCTTAGCCTCTCTCCCCTTTCTCTGAAGAAGCGATGAGATAAAGTAATCCTTTAGCTTGATTCAATGGGGTCGGATTGGATTTCTATGAGGCAGGGTCGGGCCTAGGGCCCTCAAGTGTATAATTAATGGAAGCAGGGGCGACATTCATGGGAGATCTCAACCTCTCCCGCCCTTAGGCTAGTCAAAAATATCTTCATCAGAAAAACAAATGACGTTTCTCTAATCCCCCGTGCATCACTCTAATCTCCAGAAGGGCACGGAAAGTGCCGAGGTGGCGCGAACCCCCACGATTTTCCCCGACCTCCCAGTCGACTGATGTCAAGACTCGCTGTGCGATCCTGTCGTCTGCGCGACCAGCCTGATTGAGGGAAAAGGGTTGCTAGGTATGACGTCACCCTAGCAACGAAGATTGATCATGTACCCCTTCGCCAGCCAACCTGCAATAGGGAGTTTCAGATAGCGCCTCTCAGCGGGCGTTGAAAACAGAAAATTGCGACAGACTTTTTTCATTTGCTTCTGCGGTAAAAGCCATTTCCTCTTGAGGGCTATTGTTTCTGCCGGAGTAGAATTACGCTGGGTCCAAATCGTGATGAGGAAAGATATCATTCAATATCAACGAAAGCAGGCGCTTAAATCCATCTTCCAATGTGAATCTATCGACGGTCTTCATTGCAAAGTATTCCAACTTTCATCATGTGGCTGTTGTTAAGATGCGAGTTGCCAATGAGAATCACACGAGCTTACTTCTTGAAATCAGAAAGTATATGCAACGTTGGGTTCTGATACGCGTGCTGCATATTTCAGAAATACAGCTATCACCCATTTCGAGTTTATTTCGGCCTTAAAAAGAGGTATTTCGAAGTGATCCGTATTATGATAATGATCATAATAGCGGAAATAATTTTGAGAAGTAATCTCTCGTGTTCATTTAGTTATATTACCAACTTGTCCTTCCGGAATAATATAGTATCAGTTAATGAATCTTCTTTCTTTTTAATGGAGATCACAGGTATATAATACATGATAGAGGCGACCCGTGAAGATCCGGGGCAGAATAGGTCTTCAGCAACCCATGCTTGCTGTAAAAGGTGACTATGCTTGTCGTTAAAGGCGACTAACGGGATCGGGTGGTCAGGCTCGCAGACTTGGTTGATACATGTCATCGATTCCAATTGCGTGGATCGATGCTCATGATATCAATAACTGATTTGTCTGGTCCAGACTCGATTATTTACAGACCGCCGTCATATAGCTGGAATATTGCTGAGTGCGGCGTTAAACAACAAACAAACCAAACAAACAAACAAACAAACATGATACAGGCATGTACACTACTCCGTACATACACCATTTCGCGAACACCTGGTGTCATCAATATTTGATAGTGATTCATAAATACATCCTCATGATATAGTCGGCATCGTACAATGGAGATCTTGCGATCATAGAAATTGTTTTTGTCGCTTTTGTATTTATATTATGAACACACGAGTGTAAATACTTTGAAATAATGTTGTTTATTACCTAGTCATTGTATCTTGCATAATAGAAAATAATAAAAAAAAGTAATGTATCTGCATTTGGATGTAAATAATACTATTCATGTAAGTATTTATATCTTAGTACGGAGAAGATCGGACACACGGTATGAAGATAATACTCCTTTTCCATCGCTTTAAGTTCGCACAGCTGCCAGATATTTTCCCCTGTGGGTGACTGTATATCTTCCAGATTCAATAAACAGACAATGCGACGAACATCGAAATTTAGACAATAAAAATCGAAGCTTCGTTACATGTCCTTTATATCAGTAGAACTGCAATATTTTGTAAACGATAGATCTAGATATAGATAGAGATTGATATATACGTCAGTTGATGTCAGTATCATAACTAATTGATAACATCCATCAGTGATGAAATATTGTATCAGCCTGTTTACTGTCGATTATTCCTGCTTAATTTGCACAGTTCTTAACAGTGACAATCGTAGGTGGTGGGTACATATTGCAGTTTCAACGCTGACCCTTAAACAGTCCACGTGACGTGACTATTTATCATAAGAAAACAAAAGAAAATAGTGCAAACGAGATCATTGCTACCAGACATATGCATTCATTGTCTATTCAAAAAGAGAAGCGAGTTTTTT